CTCCGAGGCACCCAAGACGCTGTAAGAGGCGTCTGGGACCGTCAAGAGGCCCCCAAGACGCTCCAAGAAACCTCCACTGGGGGACCCTTCCTCTGTGTCCTGCCCGCTTCCCTGATCGAGGCAATTCCTCTGGGCATCGTTTTTCTGGATGGGCTGGTGGGGATTCGCGAAGCGTCAACAATTCTTGACAATGCACTCTTGAAAATGGTTTCCTTTAGCAAGTCCTTAGCACGCGTGATAAGCAACTGCCTTGAAGGGGAATACAATCCAATCCCAATCTTCCTCCTCTGGGTATCATACCTCCCGCCCTTTCCCCCCCACCCCGTCCTGGGTCCCTGACACTTGCTCCCTAAGACCACCCCCGCACGCCCGCGCAACAACAGCCAATTTAAGCATTCCGTCGCACTCCTTGAAGGACACGTGTGGGGAACCCTCAGAAACCCGCAGCTGAGTTCACGTGGCAGGATGACGGGCTGGGTGTGTTGCTTTGCCCCAAGAAGCCACTGCAGTGCGAGCCAAACACCCAATAAGCCCGTACAACGCCGCCGAGCCCAAACCACATCATGGGCCGCTGCTTTAGAGGCCTCCAAAAGAAGGTCCGAGCAGCTGGGGTCGGAGGATCGTGACGCATCCACGGTGCATCGCCGATGCATCGGCGATGCCAGGTAGACAAACATCTGGCTCCAAATCGCGCCGCGTCGGCAATGCATCGGCGATGCGGCACGGCCCTGCGCCGCCCCCCCCTTGGCAGGAGCGCGCCAAGGGGCGGCGCCGAAGACGCCGCAGGGGGGAGCAGCGCCGATCCAACGAATCCGCGCGGACACTGGAGCTCATGCCGATATTACGCTAAGGGGGGGGGGAGGGGCGGGAAAGGAGAGGGGGGAGAAGGTGGAGGAGAAAACGAGGATCAAGAAGAGGAGGAGGATGATAAAGGGTAATGGGGTTATCCTGGGGAAGGAGTAGTCAGAAGAACAATTGGGGATGAGGAAGAACGAACATAAACTAACAATCGCGCTCAGGCCAATTTCCGAATGCCAACAGCGAAGGCGCACCTGTTGGCTCATACTCAGGGCTTATAGTTGTCTGGGTACGTTCAGCTTGTAGGTCGCTGTAGGAGGAGTGCTGGCGCACAGGCGCAGAAGCCCAACCAACGTTCCACTGGATTTCCACGCAAGGACGGGGGTCCGAGCGACACGTGCCCTGAGACGGTACCCGACTCCAAGAAGACGGGGCATGCGCTAGGAGCAAACGTGAGATGGGGCGGCCCCAGCGGCATCCCTCTGGCAAATGGCCCGCTGCCAAGCGCGCCCCTTCTTCATGGTCCTCCTTGCCAGGGCAGTGGAGGAAGAAAAGCACGGCATAGAGGGTCCAAACTGATTTCGTGAATCCATGGCGCACGGAGCGCCCCAGGAGCGACGCCACAAGCGCTGCAAGGGCGGCCTGGGCGTCGACCCAAAACGATTCGCGCGGAGCGTCGACATCTTATACAGATGCCGCGTTCTCTTTTGTGAGAGGAGGAGCAGGAGGAGGAGGAGGAGGAGGAGGAGGAGGAGGAGGAGGAGGAGGAGGAGGAGGAGGAGGAGGAGGAGGTAG